ACGAGTGTATGTTTGCTGGTAAGATGTGCTTGACAGATTGTGGTGTGGAAAATTGTGCACTGATGGTTTTAATTTTATTAATGAAGAACGTGGCAAAGTCGTCAGCTGTTAGAGTTGATGAAGGATTTTGTTATGATAGTATGTCCTTTTAGCAGTGGACTCATTAGCAGAGAAGGAAGAGAGGAGTGACTGATACATATTAAGGTCAGTAGGATTTTAGGTTACGTCGAAAAGTGACATGTGTAGGGGTATGTGTTGTGTCAGGAACCATGTTGAGGTTAAGAGTGAGGAGGAAGTGATCCGAGGTGTGCAGTGGAGTAACCAGCACATGATCAGTGGAGCAGTGTCATGTGTAAATAAGGTCCAGTTGGTTTCCTGATTTGTGAGTAGCCATAGTTAACACTCGCTTGAGATCAAAAGAGGCAAGCAGAGTGTGGAAGTCTGCACTGATACAGGTCTCCATCAGGGCCATGAGCTTGAGCATTTTAATGCTTAGGTTGACAGACTGGTGTGTGTGTGTGTGTGTGTGTGTGTGTGTGTGTGGCCACTAGAGGTCTCAGCTCATCTCCTCCACACACTGATCTGTCATAAGCAGCTCCAGTGCATGTAGTTTAAACATAGAACAGTATTTGTCCAGTATGAGACCAACAAGCACTGTTGATTATGGCCAATAAGACCAACAAGCACTGATTATCTGTAGTTTCCTGCAGCAGTGAGTGAGTGAGTATGTGCATCTCTCTCATGACAATCCAAACGACTGCAAGTCTTTCATTGCTGCTCTTTTGCTTGATTTTTACGTACACTTTTTTTAGTATTAAACTTTACATGTCTAGTTTGGCAGCTCTAGAGCGACTGCTTCATTAGGACAAATCTGTGAATGGTTTGATTCACTAAAATGAATGTCATGTCTTGCTGCTGTGCTTGATTGCTACCAGTTTCTAAACTATTGAGAACACAGTTACTGTCATGCTAGCGAAAGCTTTAAGTTAATGGTGCGGCAGCTTTTGGTTAGTTCCCATCTCTTGTGTTGTTTAGTAGAGGTTCAGACGAGAAACACGGCTCCACTGACTCGCTGTCATGTCTGATGAAGTTCTGCTGTGTTTTATAGTAGTTCAGCTGTTGTTCAGATGTGTTGATATATAAGGAGCCATATAAGGAGAAGCTGTGTGTGAATGTGTGCAGAGGGTCAGATGTGATGTTGGTGTGTGACACCAGTGCAGTCTGTTTTATGGCCTGTCAGGTTTACCATGACTACAGACCTGCACTTTGTCTACATGCATTATTAAGCTAAACATGATCAATCATTCACTCTGTGTGTGTGCATAAACACTTACATATTTTAGCCAAAACTCTCCTGTCATGAAGGTGTGTCATGTTAGATTGTTTCTTACAAACCCAGGTGAAAAAAGTTCACTTCCATAATGTACATAAAGTGCTCTTTTTTCATTTTGTACTTAATATAATAAAAATTATTCTTTAGTACTTCTTAAGATAAACATGAACCCATCTCAAGTGTACTACAAGTGGTAACTAAATAAATTTTTTAATAGAGAGATAGTATGTTAAAAGCACATTTTAGTTCATATTCATGGTGTCTCAAAATAGCACAGTTGAGTACACTTAGATGTTCTTAACATTATCTTAAGTAGAAGTACTAAAGAGTAATTTTTTATTATATTAAGTACAAGATTAGTGCGTGAAAATAGCACACTTTAAGTACATTATGGAAGTGTGTTTTTTTCTCCTGGGAACACTTGTCCAGGTCATATTTCAACCCCAAAAAAAAAAATAAATAATTGTATTGTGCATATAGCTAAGGAAGTCTATTTTAAGACTGCTTGGATACATTGTGACATTATTTCTTTGACAATAAAAGCCATATCCCAAATTTTCCTCCCAAATGTGAGATGTGAGCCCATAGGAATCCACTAGAGCTCTGTATGGCGTTCACTATGCTCACGAGACATTCACGTTTGTCCAGGCTGATTGAGAAAGGTGGTCAGTGAGGGAACAAGCTTGTGTTCATCACTCCTCTGATTCCTGTATCTCAGTTTCACTGTCTGATCCTCCTCCTCGTAGTCTCTCTTCTTACGACTTTAATCGCAGTGATCATGTAGAATCGCTGCATCTGTGTCACTGTGAGGACCGAAGCCCTCCGTCACTCATCACATCCACCAACACACATGCAGACCACTCATATCACTCATTACTCACTCATTACTGACAAACGCTTGAGATTTAAATCAGTCCACAGTAGACTTGTGCCGGTATTCGGTAATGCGATATATCACGGTAATGAATATGCACGATATTGTTATCGTGGGCACTTCTAAATACCGTGAATAATTATATATTACAAATTATTTAGAATTTTGA